GCCCGCTGAGGAGGAGGAGGAGGAGGGACGGAGGGCGGGGTGCTGGGGATAGCGGCGGGGAGAAGGCCGGTCGCTGCCGGAGCTGGGAGGAGGAAGAGGAGGAGGAGGAGGAGCAGGGTCGGCCTATTTTTCCACGAATGGCCGCCGCTGGGGCTGTGGCGTAGCTCGCCGTCTCTCCGCCCGTTGCCCACGCCCGCCTCGGCCCCTCAGGCGCCTGATTGACAACTTGGAGCAGGACGGATGCTAAGGAGGAGGAGGAGGAGGAGGAGGCGGGGCCTGACTAGGCCTAGGCTGACACCCACGAAGCGAGGCGGCAGAAGGGCCGGAAGGGAAGGGAAGGGAAGGAACGGACGAGGAGGAGAAAGAGGAGGGGCCAGGGCGGCGCGAGCGCAGCACGAGGCGGCCTCTTCCGACCGCCCACACCCCACTTTTCCTTTCCTTTCCTTTCCTTTCTAAAATAGGGGACGCGCCTCAGGAGCGCGGTGAAGGGAGGCGCGAGCGCGCGCTTGCGCTTGCGCGAGGATAAGGGAGGGGTCAAGGAGACCAACTGCCGGTTTGGCTGTTGATGGGCTTCAAAAAAGAAAAAAACAAACAGACAAAAAAACAGCCTGCGCGCGCTCTTCTTGACAGGAGGCGGGACCAAAGGAAGGGGAGGAGAAGCTGTATGGCTTCTTCTTTTGCCCGCCTCCCCTCTTCTTTTCTTGATTGACAGGCCCCAGGGGAGCAGGCAACAAATGGAATGGGGGGGGAGAGTGAGAAAGAGAGAGGCGCGAACAAGCTCGCGCGCCTTCTGACAAGCCAAGAGGGAGGGGGGCTGCCTCCTCGCTATCGCTTCTGTCTTAGACCTCAGGTAGAAAACTCATCCATAGGTTTACTTTTTATTTTTAAGGCAGTTTCGGCCTAGATTAGTACCTTCGGGAGAGTCGTAGGAGTGACTCAAAATAGTTATCTCTAAATTAAGGCGTTTAAAAAAACAAATTGAATAACGCTCGCTGTCGCCGTTAGCGGGATGCGCTGCATGTCGGGAATTGTAGTACGGAATAGAGCCCGCGCATGCGCAATGCCGCGCAGATGGTAGCAGTTGAGATGGTGAAGTCTGCGCAGTAAAAGAATGGTTTTTGGGGACAGTGGTTTACTTAATTCCCTTCCGCAGCCTCGGGGTTTGCATCCTCTTGAACTGGGTGGCAGTCGAGTACAGTACCAGGTTGGGAAAAGCTGGCCTATTCTGACTAGGACTGCATCCACACTGGAGAAATAACCCCGTTTTGGCACCGCTTTGACTGCCTTGTCTCACGGCTGTGGAATTCTGGGAATTGGAGTTTGTTGTGGGCCCAGAGGCAAAACTCCAATTCCCAGAATTCCACAGCCTTGAGCCAAGGCAGTTAAAGCAGTGCCAAAACGGGGGTCATTTTCTTGGCAAGTTTCTTCAGAGGTTTATTCTTGTCTTCTGAGGCTGAGAGAGTGTGACTTGTCCTAGTGGACTTCATGGCCGAGCTGGGAATCGAACCTTGTCTCAAGAGTTTTAGTCCAACGCTCAAACCACTGTGCCACAGCTGGCTGTCAAGGAGAATGTAGGACATTACAAAATAAAAGCTAAAACACTCATATAATATAATTTCATTTCATATGGTTTATATTGCGTATACGGTATTTTACTATGTACTTAACCATATTTTTTTCTGATAAATTAATTTTCACTAAAATGCTCTAGAGTCAAAGAGTTGGAAGAGACCAACAAGGGCCATTGGGCCCAACCCCATTCTGTCATGCAGGAACTCACAATCAATGCACCCCTGAGAGATGGCCATCCAGCCTCTGTTTAAAGACCTCCAAAGAAGGAGACTCCACTACTTTCTGAGGGAGTATCTTCCACTGCCCAACAGCTCTTACTGTCAAGAAGTTCCTCCTAATGTTTAGGTGGAATCTCTTTTCCTGTAGCTTGTGTCTTGCCACACTACACACTTATAGTGCTACTATTCCACTTTTGCTGCTCTGGCTGCCTCCTATTGCATTCTGAGGCTTGTAGTTCAATGAGGCCTCAGAGCTTTCTGGCTGAGAATTCTAAATGCCCCTCCTTAAACTGAAAATCCCAGAATGCAACAGGAGGTAGCCAGAGCAGTTAAAGTGGAATAGCTATTCTCTGGAGCAGCAGAAAACAAGCTGGGTTGTTGGCTTGCAATATATAGGGCCTTTGCAGACTGCCAGAAATAGTGCAAATTGAGTCCA